AGAGAGTGATGAAGGGAAGGGGGGGGGGGGGGGGAGGAGGGGGCGATGAGACTCATCTCCACCACCTTCTTCTTTTCCATTTCCCGTGAATACGGGCCGGCACACGCCTTTGGCACGGGCGCGCCCTTGTATCCGTGGTGACAATGCAAACCGAAACAAACACTTAGCGGCACGTGAGCGGCACGTGGCCGCCAGGATATATTACATTCCGAATGCACACACACTTGACGGACGATTAAAGGGGTGTTGCACGCGCGAAGAACCACGATCGTGACAACGATACACTCTTCTCTCTTTCTCTCTTTCTCTATTTTTTTCGTCAACTATTTATCGTATCCGTTATATCGTAACGCGATCGTCAGAGATATGTACTTTACGTCTAGGTAAAGATATAAACGGAAAGGAATGTTCGTATAAGATTCGCAGAAAGATTTCTGGAACTGAGATAAAAAATGTAAATTTAAAATTATATTATAATTTACAAAAAAATTGATTTGAATATATATTTAATTATAATTAATCTAAATAGTAAAAATTAATTAGCGTGTTTTTTTAGAAAACTTATTCATGTCAGTCTCTGTTGACATTATTCAGAATATTAAAGTAGTTTAATTTAATTCAAATAATACACACATACTTTCTTTCTCTCTTTCTCTCTTTATTTTCATGTCTCTTATTTAATTAGATTTTTGCAATTACAAATGACATAATTTTATTTTAATGAAAAAGGTTGATGATTTAAATCTTAACAGTGCAAATTGAGATTAATTAATAATAAATAATTTCTGTCTCATTATCTTACCATCGCTTGGATTACACAACAAATCTGCGATAACGTTGAAATGACTGTTATAAATGACTGTTGCGCTTAAGATTGTTGTTTGATAAATTGCGCTACGTTAAACTTTTCCAATGTTAAATTATTGGCAAGTGTTTATCTACGATATATATCTATGTACCTATCTTTGAATTTCCTCGACCCTGGACTCCTCGATCCTCTTATCGCATGCGCAATTATTTTATCGCATTGCGATGCAACGTTTACTTATGTATTTGAGATAATGCAATAATAGTTGCCTTTATAAATTGTAGCATCATCGTTATTCGGAGCACGCATAAATCTTATGTACACGCAATCGTAAATCTTTGCAATCTAATGTAATACTCGTAAATCTAACGATTTCATAATGAATGTTGCAATGTGCAACACTGATTTCTTCGCAAGATTATTCTAATAATAAATTTAATGCACACACACACATAATTGCTTTTCTATCTAAAAAATCAAATATTACGCTTGCTGTGTAACGGATGTAAGACACGTGTTAATTGCCTATTGAATGAGGAAAAAATTACGGAACGAAGAATAAGATGATTTCTAGAAGTTGTTTATCCGATAGCATACATTAACATGTTTGATAATCTTATCATATGACAAATGTAATATCAATCTAGAGCTCTGCGATATCGCGACATTGATTTTATTTCCGTATTGAAAGCGCGATCACATTATACATATTACAAAGATACGAAAGATAATTTGTTTTATCGCTCTCGCGCGTTTATCAATAATTAAGCTAATCGATTAAAGCTCTTTCCCGCAATGCCGTGTGTTTTCTACAAAATTATCCGCATATATGCGAAGTCAACTATGCTAATGAAAAAGATGATAAAAAGATTTAACTCAACCGCGCTTTCGTATTTCGTGCTCATTGCATGAAATTATTTCATCATTCTTGATTTAACCTATAGATACTTGCGTGCATTGTGCGTAAGTCAATAATAGTTGCTTCTGCGCGTCTCATCTGGCGTCATAAATTTTCTTCCCCGCGGGAGACACATGAACAAAAAGTAAAAGGGAATACAAATGGAGAGAAAGAGAGAGAGAGAGAGAGAGCAAGAAGGTGACAAAGAGAAACGGAGAGATTAGAAGAACCGCGTTTTAAGCGCGATGCTCGAATTACCGCGAGATGCGGCGGCGGCCGTTATCTTCGTCACGATCGAGGAATGTAATATCGTCACCCCAAGCGACAAGAGTTGCCTTCGTATCGCCGTTTAGAATACCGTCGTCGAGGGGTATACGAGGGGGGAACGAGGAAGGGGGGCGGGAGGGGGACAGGGATTAAACTGCAATGAAAATCCACTCATTCTCCTCTGGCCCGCTGCCGTCGTCGCCGCCTCCGCTCTCTCTCTTCTCTTTTCCGCTTTGTATTGCCAGCGCCGAGAGAAGCGGGTAAACAAGATATTGCTTTGTACGCCCTCTCTCGCTTCTGTCGACTTCTCTTGCATCTTTCCCCGTTATCGCTTTATCTCGCGCACACGACATCCTTCCCCGTCAAAGCGTGACGAAGAAAATTACTCGTTTCTCTCGGGTGTTCGGCAAATTTCTCTGATATATTTATACAATCTTTGTTTCTATCCCGATTACGTAAGAGTAACTAAAATTACAATTACATTGTTGCAATACGTATTTGGAATTTTACATTAATGAAGAATGAGAGAAGGAAAGAAAAAGAGGATAGATGGGGAAATATATTGCACGTTATATACTTAACGATACTTTATTGTGTTTTTTTTTTATCATTATACATATTATTATAAATCTATCACTTTGACACATACAATACTTACTAAGATCTACAGACGATTCTTTTAACGATAGGATGTGTAGCCTATAACTAAACATATATCTTGACTTCGCTGCTTAGTCTTAGCCGAGGAACAAAGTGAAGTACCGCGAAGTGGTGTCTCGTAATGAGTTGAAAAATATATGATATTAGTAAAATATATCACCGTGGAAAAATTCGCTAAATGCTCGCTCGTTACGAGATTTTCACATTTTGTGTACACTGGTCGTAGCAATGTAGGGATAGCGGGATTGCTTATATTTTTACGTTAAAATAATCTGAATTTGCGGGTAGATTTTTCAATTTCGTTATTAAATATAAATTATATATATTATTAGTTTTTTAATTTTCAAAAGTATTGCATACGCTCGCGTATTTTTAATCAAATGTCAAATAATGTCATTGCATATGTAGCATAAATATCAGATTAATGTACACTAATCGATTTTACATATTTTGACAGTTATATGCGAAGTGTTCGACTTTAACAAAATGAAAATTCATTAATTAACTTTCTCCCAATTTTCTATTAATTTTAAATTTAACTATGTCCTGCAGTTTTAGTTTTCTCAAAACTTTAAAAATAAACGCGCGCTTTAATTCGTCAGGATCCTTTCAATAAGTTACATTTTCCAAAATGCACAATTCCCGTTTCTAAAAATTTAAATAATCTTGCTTTCTTTTTTTAAGTCTCAAAAATTCGGATATGCGTTAAAGATTGCATGATCCTTTATCACGTACAATGCAAAATGTAACATCTTGAAAGTGATAAAAATAATTTAAAATATTCTCTTTTTAAAACGGGGTACTCTTTATATCGCGCGAGACGTGTCTTAACGTTTCTTAACTGTAAAATGCCGTATAGATATTCACAATTACATACGGATCGCGCTATGGATTCGCTGTATGTACACCAAATGTCTACCGCTTACGGCTAAATGGGGAGGGCGGGCGGCTTTACGTTAAATCCACCGAAGAAAGGTGCTCCCCGCGCGCGCGCTATAACAGAGTGCTGCGCATATATTTGTTCGGGACTCGTATTTACAATGCCGATATTAATCGACCATATAAAAGCGGCCTAAGTTCGCCTAATCGACAGTTCTAGGCAACGAAAGTGGAATCGGAGGGTACGCGGGGCAATTTATTCGCACAACGAACTTCGTTCGCGCAAAAGCTCGTTTATTCGACGAGTGGAAGTACGTTATTGTTCAACTTCTCCGTTTGTGGGCGAGATTAATCGCGTAATTAATTTACGTATTATTTTACATTAATTAATATGATTATAGTGACTATAATCATATTACGCGAAAGTTCTGTATGCACATAAATGCAGCAATTTAAGTATAGTTAATTAATGATATTCGTGTTACATTATTCTGAAAGATAAAAAATTTGATTCGTTTTCGAAATTTTGATATCGCATTTTGTAAATCTTAGATATATCTACTTCCACCAGTCATTTTGAGAAGCGACGCGGGATGTTAAACAAAAACGCTACGCTATTGCACTACTCCTTTTTACAAAGATGCGCCGATACATACGGGATGCGCCATTATCCTCGATATACATCTTCATTAAATCGATTCATATGTCTCTCTATTATTTCTGCGATTCGTTTTGATTACTCGGTAAGAAACGACCATCTGGAATTTTATGCCAGGATTGATTTGATTACGCGAAGTATGACACTCTTCTCTCACGGAATAAAAATTAGGATTGTAGATAACACAGATAACGCTTGAATTTCGACTTCATATACGTCCTTCTTATCGCTTGCAATCACTGAGCATTTTATCGTAATAATATACGGTTAACACATGCAGAGCAAATATTTCGTTTTCAGAGAATCACATTGAGGTTTCACAAGATGTGAAAATGTTGCATGTCGAGTGTCTCATTATATATGAATCCTCTCTAAATAATACAAAAAATATTTATAATGTAATAAAAAATGTATTTAAAGGAAAATTTATTATTTACAAAATATTACGGGGACATGCTAATTTTGTATTAAGAATATTTATCTTCTGTTTTGATATTAATAAATTAAGATCTCGGAGAAACACAAATTCCGAATATTCTGTTTATACACAAAATAAAAATGTTTCATTTAGATAGCATCGATCAGGGAATATCTGCTAAGCGATATCGATTACCATCACTTTTGGAGCGAGTCGTTCATCGCGGAGCGATTAAAACGAATTCTCCCGAGTCATTCTTGAGGATCTCTTGAAAATACTCCGGTAGAGCCAAGTCTCTGATCAGCGACGCACAGTTCACAATGTGATCTCGATACGGTCACCGAAATTTCGATAACGCGATAAAGTTCAGCGTTCACTTTACGGTCCGATCACTCTTTTTTTTTTTAAGAGGGGAGGAGGAATACTATCTCTCTCGTGCGACTTTTTATTTCAAGGGGCGAAAACTGAAGTTCCTGGACTTTAATTGTCGACGATAAAGGCAGAACGATTTTTTATGCAGCAATAATTATAAATTTTTTTTTATGTAAGGACGCATGCGTTTAAAGCGCATTTGCACTTTAGTTACGCTATCGCCTTAGGAAAGTCACTATTCGCAATTAAGAGAGAAGGTCGCTAGGCTTCTAGACGAGCGGCGAAAAGGCAGATGCCTGGCTTCTGATCTCTCTATGCTCTGACGGGCTGAGATCCAGCAGCGCGCCGCAATTCTGATCGCTAGCCGCCTGCTTGCCGATGAGCGCATCGATGCTGAAGTTACGCTTCTTGTCGACGCTCGTCGTGTGGCTGGCCGGCAGCGTCGTGATCCTGGCGGGGGTCGGATCGATTTGCCTGATCGGCGGCGCCGTGATGGGAACGGGTTTGTAGAGTGGCGGCGGCGGTTCCAGGAAACCGCCGAGCTTTAACGCCTCCAAGGTTGACGGGGAGAAATCCAGCAGCGGCAAACCGGGTGGCGGCGATAGATAAGCGGCACTGGGATAAGCCAGGGCGTTTGGATGACCGCCACCGCCGCCGGGACAAGGTCCCCGGTCGCCGCAGATGGCGAAGGTAGCCATTATCGCACGGTCCCGCAGTACGTAGTGCGGCGGCGGCCTCTTGTATCGCTTCCTGCGTCTCAGAAAGCTACCATTGTCGAACATATCTTCCGCCAGCGGATCCAAGGTCCAGTAATTGCCTTTTCCCGGGTTTCCTGGCTCCCTCGGAATCTTGATGAAGCAATCGTTGAGCGACAAATTGTGCCTGATGGAGTTCTGCCAGGCGGGAAATTTGTCGTGATAATAGGGGAAGCGGGACATGATGAATTCGCAGATACCGCTCAGCGTCAGCTTCTTCTGCGGCGATTGCAGGATCGCCATGGTGATTAGAGCGATGTACGAATACGGTGGTTTTATCAAGGACGATGACATCTTATCGGAGCCGTAGCCGGACGAGGGTTGACCCGAACTACTGGACTTTCCTGATTGGGCCGACGCCGACATCATCGAATATGTCTTTTTGGAAGAACGCCCTCCGCCGCCGCCGCCTCCGCCGCCGCCGCCGCCGCCGCCGCCGCCGCTGCCGCTGCTACCACCTCGACTCCTGCCGGCCGACGGCGGCGCCGAGGTCGACATCGGTATCGGCGAGCAGCTCGGTATCACCGGGCTTGATGACGTCTGCGACGGCGGCGACAGATCGTTCTTGTCGAGACTCACCGGGTCCACGATCATGCTGCTGCTGTCCGAGTCCCGGTCGCTATCCGCGCAGCCGTCGCACGACAGGTTCGACATCATCATCGCACGTGGCTCCATCGTGATCGCCGCCTCATTAGCGTTAGGACGTGACCCCGAGATGCTCCTATTTCACCGTCGGTCCCGCGACCGATTCCTCGAGATCGCCGCTTGCTAGCATTCTCCGTCCAAAATCCAAGGGCTTTCTTAAGATCGTTGTCGTATACAATACAAGAATGTTTATTTCCTTGATAAAAACTTTAAAATTTTTGTCGGTAAAAAATTCGACGAGAGCTCTTCGAAACGACTGTTTCTTCACCATAAAACGAATGCTAAATCGAAATCCTTTCTTATGACTTTCGCTGAAGACAAAATTTTATCAGAGTATTTTCTATATTGAGTATTTTTGTCGTATGAAACCGCAAAGCATTTTTAAATTATTGACAAACAGTCTTTTTGTTAAGGAAATCGCTGTTTATGAAAAAAGTCGTATTGTAAATTTCAGATTAATTATACCAAGTTCCAAGTCCAAGTATAAAATATTTCACTTATGACACGTTCTCTTTCAACGAGAATCATATAGTATTATTGCTAATTGTAAATTATAGCAACTCTTGTCTAACATAATCTCTCAGAAGGGAATTTCGACTGTCGAAATATAACAAAAGTTCCACACATTATTATTCACAAAATTTCTTTGGTACGAACAGTTGTTATAATTTCTGCAACAATTTCCATCAAAAATTTCAGTCATCAAGTCTACAAATTTTAACCTTTTCAATTCCTTAAATAAGAAAACTTGTTCCACGTTGCAATCAACTATAATATTGCCATATGATACAAGTAGAATGTTTTTATGGCTGTGTCTTCATGTCGCGCACTTCTTGCAATTTTTCCACGGATTGTCCGTCGTCGGGAAAACACGCGAGCGACTTCTGTTGCGATATATTTCAGCGGAGCGACTGTCGCATTCTATCCGTCACTCTATCCTGCACCTGACGAGTGCTATCTTACGCTAATAGTTTGTTTTCACAACGATAACGGAACTTTTTCGCTTCGCCCTGCTTCGTTGTCTTACTTCTATCCGATTCGCGGCCTCAAGCTGCGACGCACACGTCGGGCGTCCGTCGAGGCATTGTCAAGGATGTCTCTCGCGATCCTATAAGAATACGTTCCATAGTGTGCACCTTTCGCCAGCATCTAACCGAACGAACTTTATGAATCAAATCCGAATCTTCTCACCAGCTCACTCGCTATCAAATAATCTCGCGGTCACGAGATTAATCGATCTCTTCTCTTCCTTAAAGAACTGATGATCTTGATTGAAACTAAGTCATCTTCCGGAACTTGATTCAAGATTACATCAAGGAGTCACGCGCGAAATCTTTCGCGACGTTCTCAGGAAACATTATAAGTTCCTTTGAACGTTAACGCGCTTTTTTTAAGATTAAAATCGGACCGAGATCGGACGTCACGAGCTCGCGGACGACGAAGGGTGCACGATCGCGAGCGTAGGATCGTCTACGGGGTGAAATCGAGGCTCGAATTGATTTGAAGCGGCCGCTTTGGTCCGTGGGCGGACCAATGGGCGGGAGTTTCGACCCCTACCCTGACTCGCACTCCGTCAGACGAAGTCACCCCACTTCGCTGCTCAGACCGACGTGTTTCCACCCTGCGAGGGTTGCAAGGGTGGAGGAGCGACGTGGTGACGGGGAGAGAAAGCCCCGGAGGGGGTTAGGACGGGAGTTAGGAAAATAGCGGGATAGTTAAAGGGACTTTCAAAGTGGGGGTTGAAGAGGGCGGGAGAGCAAAATTGTAACACTCCGAAGGCTGATTTGCTTTGAGCGGCGCGATGAAGATGGAGCGCGAACTCCGCTGATCTACGAACAGTCGCCAGCGACGCGATCTTCATCGACAGCGATTGCTTTCTCGCCGCGGACACCAATTTTCTGACGTGGCTATATTGTATATATATATATATATATTTGCAAACGGCGCGTTACAATTGCGGGAGAAATTCTTAGTCTCACAATTAATCTTTGATTTAATATCTGAAAATCGTGAGAGCGTGTACTTTTTTTATCTATTTATCTTGTGATTTTCTTAATCCTCATGTTTTTTATTCTGTCAACACATCTTTTATAAAATATTAAAAGTAATGATAATAATGATTACTTCAGCTTGTTAATATTCTTTTAATTATATCAGATACTGTGTGAGACTTTATAGTTTTCCAACCAATATTTTATCTTGAGAAAAATTTTAAACAAATAATATATATATACATATATTAACAATTTTCGATTTATTTCATGACGTATATGCGATTTAATCGGTTAATTAGATACTTTATTTGAAATAATTCAATTTAAAAGAAACACTTTTAAGTCAAATTTAAGATCGCTTATTATAAGAAAAAATATATATAGGAAATGTCTTGTACTTTCAAAAGAAAGTTCTTGCCTTGATATTTATCCAAAAATCCCTTCATGTAATTAAAAAATCATGTAATTAAAAATTTTAACTTCTGCTCATTTTTAGCGTCTCGAGCGCTTCATTTTTGCAGTGACATATTTTCAATTTGGTTGATAATTTCCGAAGAAAGTAACTTGACACAAGATATGTGGCGCGAGGGTTAAGGAAATAACCATGTTCTATTAACGTGTCTCATTTTCATCGTGGAAGTGTTGCAATCAACCAACGACTAGATCCGTAGAATCGCCAACAGAGCGAGACGAACTGCACGCATCACAAGTTAACTTCCCTGAGGCAGCTCAAATAGAATCTGTATTACGCCAGACCGGTACATAGAGAGAGAGAGAGAAAATGAGAGAGAGGTAGGGGGAGGGGGAAGAGATAGAGAGAGAGAGAGAGAGACTTGTTAGGAGCGAGAGACGCGAATGTACACTAGGATTCATAAATACTTTAACATTCACTTTAGATCTCGTATTTTGTTTTATTCCAAAAACGGACAGAACTTTCCGGTAGACCTGATACAACAGTAATACATTCTGATCATTAATATCCACAGTTACAAACAATAATTGCATTCTGTTAGACGAGAAAAAGGATTCGTTGACGTGACGAGTCAATAAAAATATTTTCGCGCGATCTTCTCGTCGGGATTTTTCTCGCGGCGTAAAATATCGCGGAGGAGCATTCCGCCTTACGGCCTCCCTTGCCGATTTAGCGATTACCGCGTCTTAATCTCGAGTTCTGGTTAGGTTAAGACCGACGACGAGAATAGAAAGGAAGGGAAACGCGCGGGTGGCATACACCCCGCTCCACGAAACTCTCAGAGGTTCACCATTCACTCCGTGGCGGATTGCGGATTCCGAGAGTTCCACCATTCGATTCGATTGCTTCTTACCCTGGACTCCTTCGCCGCTCGTATTTACCTCTTGATTTCTTCCCCCTCCGTCCTCTTCGCGCCAGTCTCCTTGGACCAAATCTTCCGGAAATTCCAGGGCGAACCGCGCGATCGGGGCTGTCGTCTTTATACGAGCGACTATGTAGTTACAAACAGCGAAGTGAGTTTGTGCTAAATTCGAATCTAATTTGATTTGGCCAATATTTCAATCGGTTAATTGAAAATAAAATCGATAGAATAATTATGTTATGTGAAATATACATATTATTTAGCATATTTAAGCATCCGAATATATGGATTTAACTCAAAGATAAAATATTTACGAAAAGAAAAAGAGAGATTTATATTTCTATAGCATAACTTTACATTGCGCTGCTTTCTGAAATACTTGTAAAATATCTTTTATCAAATATATAAAATCTTAGAAATATTCGCAACACGCGTGCAAAAAGAATTAAGAAACCGTTGATGCATTCTGTCATCTACATAGCATTATGCGACCTAAAATCCTCAATCTCGCGAGAGAGCGTATCATAGTCAACGTTGAAAAATAGAAGGCGCCGCTTTGCGGTGACCCAAGTACGTGCAGTACAAAGCTCACAAAGGGTTTAAAGAAGGAGAAAAAGAAGAAGAAGAAGAAGTAGTCAAGAGGATGAAGGCGGTAAGAACCGCGAAAGGAGCGCGGGGAAAAAGGGCGAGTGTTTACTGGCGGAAAGGAACCGCGCCGCTACTACTAACTCGTCGTCGTCGTCGTCATCATTGTCGTCGGCCCTCTCCGCGAAAAGCCAGGCAAGATTATGCCGCCATCTTGAATGTTGGTAAATATCCCGCGCCGAAAGAGAACCTCCAGTCGAGCGAGGGATCCGGCATGGGCGGAGAAGTAAGCCGCCGTTACTACTAGCCGGTCGTCGTGGCTAAGAATGTAGTGGTGGTTGCACCGGCGGTGGTAGTTGTGACTTTATTCGAAGTGGCGATGGTCGTGAGGATGAAGGAGGCGCCTGTGCAAGGAAGTCGAAAGTGTCGCAGCGAGCGGGATGGAAGCTTGGAGCTTGGAAAGGGTAAAGAAGTGCGAAGAGAGGTCTTGGCGGCGCACAAGGCGAATATCCCCGCTACAAAGAATACTGTCGGCTTTGCACCTTTTTCAAGACGTCGTTTTCTCGCTTTGCGTCGAGAAAAACCCTACTCCTTCTCCACTCCTTCTCGAGAACCTCGTCTTGTCCTTTTCTCCCCTCCCTTCCTATTCTGTTTCTACCCCGTCTCCACCCCGACTTCGCTACTTTTGCCATCGGTCTCCCGAGATGTCCTCCGCTTTCATTCCCCCCGTTCTGCCACATCGCGTTGAGAAAGGACAGCCATTTACCTGTGCGGTCCAAAGATGGTAAACTGACATGAGAGATTTGCCTTGTAAGAATTGAATCCTTTGTATATGATATATTGCCAACTATATGTGTTTACATGGATAACAGCCGTTGAATGATAAGAGATAAAAATAAATACAAAACTAAAATTTTATTACACACTCCAGTTACAATATTAGATTACATACAGATAATTATTTTGTCGCAATATAAAGTTTTAAATTTTATTTCTTAGAGAATCACACAAAAAGAGCTAAAAATAAAAGTGAAATGCATAAGTAAGAATATATAGGGACGGCGTAATTTGATATTATTTTATGAGAATATTTTTTTAAAAAATTGGAAATTTTTAAAAAAAGCGGCTGACAAAAAGTTCACTCGATCATCTTGTTGATCAATTTTAAATCAAATTATTCAAGACAAATGGATCACTCTACCAACGACACTAAATGATAGGGGTGGTTAAATAACGTGGTTCACCCTGTATATTGTCTCATTTGATTTCGCGCAGATTGAAGAAAGACACGGAGGGGGGCCGGAGGGGTCCTCGATGGAGCGGCCCGATTGCGGTGAAGCCGTGCGACCGAATCTGAAATTCAATTCAATGCAAATGCATGTCGGCGGGGAACACACTTACGGCTAACCGGCGAACGAGATCGAGGATTCGCTTAGTTGCTTAGGACGCGGTAAACACTCGACACTTTTATACTCGAGACTTATGAAATATTGATGGACACAGGTTGGCGCGCCTGACGCTAACGATGCCGTCGTCATTAAGTGGGAAATACTCGGTGGATGAATTATCGGTGATCGTTCTTCCGTAAGGAGACACTTTATTACCGTATCCGTCGATACGAGGAAGAAGAAATCGCGATATAAATATAAAAATATAATATAATATAGTAACAAAAATTTATGTATAAAAGTATTATTATTAAATGTGCAAGTCTTTACAATTAGAATTTCTGCGCTTTTTTATAACGTAAAAACGTTCGCGGACGCACTCGAACAAGAAGGAGGGGCACACGCGCTCTTTCTTTCTCTCTGTCTCTCTCGTTTTCTCTTTTTCCCTCTATTAAACGCCGAGAGAGCACGACGGGCCAACGATCCCAATTACAAACATTTCTCGTGGCTTTTCAGAGTTGCATTTGTCCGAGGAGGGAACACCGCCCTTCGTCGCGCTCTCGGTGCATTTTATAGTTCCCGCTTCCGCGCGCCCGACTCTCGCTAAAAGTACTTTTCGTTTTCGAGTGCTTACGAGCACATGCGGGTTGATTTTCTCTTCTTCACCCTCGTTCTCTCCTGTATACAGCTTTCCATTCCCTCTTGCGTCACCTCCCGCGTAAAGACATAGCAATCTGGTGCTGAGTCCATATCTATGCTGGACAATAAAGTTACTCTCTGCCACAGGCTTTGTATTCGGTGATCCTAATAATATTTTCTACGAGAATTTAAAATAGGTTTTTATATATAAATATGTTTGTCTTTAAAAATTTATCTTTGTTATGTTATCTCATTATATAAAATTGTTAAGAGAGAAGAGTGGCACACACATTTTTATATTTATGAAATTCTTTATGACGTTTGATAATTTATCCTACATTTATTACGAAAAATATGCGTGTCAATTTAGATATACAGCGTGGCGATTTTCTCCGTAGCTATAAAGAGTTCTAAAAATTTTCATGCTGAAACACGCGCGTTTCGTAATCTCGAAACTCACGATAAAGCATTGAGCGAAAGTGGAAAAAGATAGACGAGACACGAGAATGGTTGCAGACACGGGACATGGGGTCAGGGATGGAGGGTGGAAGGGTGATAATTTGTTAGCGTGTGCGCACCCCCAAATGCGCGAAATCCCGTCGAAGTGCAGCTCGCGTACGGCGCATTGTTTCCTTGTTTGCCAGGTGTTTCGAGTACCGCGGCCGAGTGGAGGCCACGCCATTGTTGCGAGAGAAGTCGTGCACCCGCTCTCTCTCGACAAAGCCGGCGATCTAATGCTCTTTTATTGTGCATTGTGCGCGGCCGAATCAAGAAAGGGGGTGGCACGCACACACGCGAGCCGAGGGATGTGCCGACTTTGATTGTGCGATCTGAGAATGTCGATGACGACGATGTCGACGTCACCTCGACGACTGGCGCCTCTATTATTTGTCACTTTGCTGTTATTAAACATGAAAAGAGCCTCGCTAAAGCTCTTCTCTTTCGGAAAGACAGAATATATAGGATAAATACTGCAATAATGATATTGTAACAAGTTGATAATGACAATTATTTGATTGAAAGTATTTGCTATAATATATTTAATTAGAGAGATCTCTCTTCACTTTTAAAACATTTTACTTTTGTTTTCATGAAATTTATTTTTATGAATTAAATAAATTTAATTTTTATATTAGTTACTTCTTTAATCAAAGCTCATCAAATTTTAACAAGTAGTACTATGCAATAATATCAAAAATTCTTAAAATTTTAATAGAAAAACATAAACAAAATTATAAAATAAAAGAACTGTTTTATTCTTAGAGATTAAAATCGCAATTGTATATACTTACAGCATTTTATCTTGTTTATCAGTTCTTGCTATTAATTAATCGAAATCCATCGCTAATCAAGCAGAAATTTCTGTTTATTATATTGTATATCTTTGTTGTGTACTCGAATCAATTGAAAACAATATACTCGATCTTATTTTTCTTTCTTTCATTGCGAAAATTATATATATATAGATCTTATATCTTTTTATTGTCAGAAGAGATTTAGTTTTTGAAAAGCAAATCTTTCTATGTTTCTAATTTAAAAAGACTAATACAATATTAGGCTCGAAATATTATACGTATATGTGCATTTGAGGGCATCATTTTTGGAGAATGTTTCTCAACAGGGAAGCTGTCAAATATATACTGAACTTTAAAAAGTTTTAAAATGTTTACATTATTGTTGTCATTATAATTATTGAGTATTAAAAAGATACGTATTCGCTTCACTTTATACATTCGCCAATTTTTTCGTCAACATCGATTTCCGCAATTTTGCGTAGAAGTATCTACAGATCTTGTAAGAAGTCGTATTTAAAAACAGCGAGGTGGATTTGCATAATATAATTGATCGTTAGATATATTAATAAGTTTCTTTGAAGGAGGGATAAGGAATTGAATTGCCATTAAAGCGGTATTGTCGTTATCATTCTGATGCATACTCGCAATACAGTATCTGAGTAATCATTAAACGGTGATAAATAATTTACTACTATTATTACATAAATACATACAGTGTAAAATGTTGGCGTGATCGCTGCATAATTCGGTGATTAGCGCAAAATATTCATCAACATAAATCATGCAAGCAAAGATTAGCGGAGAATTACTTAGCAGTAAATCTTGACAAATTGCGCGCCTTGCATATAAGATCAGATTGACCAGAAAAAATATAGATTTACATTATTAATAATAGCTTGAGATAAAAAACTGTTTTGAACCGTTTAATAGCTATTAAAAAGAATTTTTTATATATATACTAGAAATATTGCAGATAGTATAGAATTAAATCACAAAAAGAAATCTTTCGATATAGGAAAGAAGTTATAAAATAGCGTACGTATGTCGAATAACTATCACTGAAATTTAAAAGTTGTATAATCTCTTTGTAAAAATGTTATATTAAAACTCAATTTTATTATATTATAAAAGACCGGATCAAAATTACATTATTCTTTCATCGCGTTATACTTACATTTATAATAAAATAATGTTAGAAAATGTAATAACTTATTTGATATTTTTCACAAAAGAAGTTTTTTTTTACCAATCTGATCTTATATGTACATAAAATAATATATATAAAATTGTTCATACATATCAGACGCTAGAAGCATGACGAACATAAGGTAATATATATATTATATAATTGTTTTTGTAAACATAATACTACCATCCTCTTTTTCTCTTTACATCTCTCATAAGCGAGAGCATCTTTTATCAGTAGCGTAACCGAAAAGCGAATCGGTGGGAGCATGCACAGAAGGATACGTATGGTCGTCGACGATGTATAAATGCCTAATGCAACGTAATCGATCCGTGCTAGTTAAAAATGTATAAAAATCATTTTTTGATTTCTCCCCAAAAACGCGCGCTATCGGTTATTTGTTCTTTCGTGAAGCTCCCAACGCAACGGTTACGCACACGTGACTAGAGAATCGTTCGTAAGAAGACAATTGAAATTAAACCGCTCATTTGCAAATCCGAAACGACAAAAATCACCGCGTCATTTCGCAATATAAATATACATAAACTAAATATATAAATAAATACATAACGCACGATATTAACAATTATTGATTTATGCGATTACGCAATACACAATTGTATTAAATCACATACTGATATCTCTTTCTCACATTCTCCCAACAAATCGATCCTAAACACATCAATAGTATTATATACAGATTCGTTAAAATAGTGACTAGTTTCTTTGTGAAATAGTTGTATTTCGTAATTCCATTATTAGAACTTTTGAACATAAGATTAATCATCGCCAATTTTCGAGTGTTTTAGCCTTTTCTTGATCAAATAAATCTACTTCTGCTAAGAAATGCGAGCATAAATGTTCTAAATTAATTCTGTTTCTCAATCTCACAATCAGTGGAAGAGAAAATAAATTTTGGAAAGAATCTCACGGACACAAAAGCGTAACGAAAAACAGATACGTAATAGACAATATACTTCCGCATATCCGTTCAAGCCGCGTTCGAAGCTTTCTCCTCAATTTCGCTACGTTAAAATTGCTACAGCTGGGTTCTGACAAGAACCAAGTATTGCTATAGCGAGAAATCCACCATTTTTCACGTCGACGTTCACCTAGTACGCGACGAGCACCATTCCATAGTCTCTCTTTTTCTCTCTTTCTCTCTCACCCACGCATACACATATACACACACACATATACACACACACATATACACACACACATATACACACATTCAAGTTTCAATTATCTAGACCACACCAATGTCACTGAATTCAGTGCGGTATTTTAGCGACCGTTCTTGTCGTTCGTCACGTTTCGACAGATCAGTTGAAGAAATCATCGCCATCGAACGGATCGCTCTCCCTCGCAAAGATATTCACCGACTCCGATTTCCGTATGTATTGATCACCCCTAGCACCCTTATTATTATTGTTGTTATTCCCCGGTCCGTATTTTCCCTGTCTGGAATTCTTCAGCGGCAATGTAGTGGCGCGATGATCCGGCACGTTGTCATCCAGCTCGGACTTGAAGACGAAGGCATCGTCGTCGAATCTCAGATCGCCGTTGAAGAAAGAATCGCGAGCGCTTTCCTCTGAGACGAAGCTGTCGACGGGCTGCTGCGGATCCTTGTTGGCATCGCATGGCAACTCCTCCGGCGTGGCCTTGAAATCGGACGACAATCTCGGTCGGTCGGACGCGTCACTGGACGCGCTGGCCGTGGGCGTGAGATCGTCTTCGAAATAGCTAGACCGTTTGCCGTATTCCCGGACACTCATATCCCGTCTCAACTGATCCTTGGAGCCTCTGATGCCGGACGACGGACTCACAGGTGGCGGCGGCTCTCGCTTCTGTTCGGTCATCTCCAGTCGTACGCGCGCGTCCATAGGTACCAACGATTCTGCCACACCTGGACCGGTGTCGGACGGCTCCGCGTGTTCGACGCTCTGCGCGAAATCGTCCTCGAACGGGCTCTGCGTCTTCTGAGTCTGTCGCGTCTTATGCCTGGCTATCCGCTTGCGATGCATCGTCTCACTCTTCGTGTCGGGACCCTCGGACCAGTACGGTCGCTCCACCCAGCTATCATATTCCTGATCGCTACCCCAGTAGCTCTCGCGACTCCTGGATCGCTGCGAGGGCCGTAGATACGGATCGGAATCGTTGTCACTACACTCAGATCTGGAAGTGCCGCCGAATTTACGCGAATCCGGATATAACATGTCGTTGTTGCGGCCCTCATTTGCGCTGTTGGGCCTCTTCGGCCAGTGTCTCTTTCTGCCAGCTGGATTGTACCTGGGCGAGTCGTCACCTGGACGTTCGGAGCCGTACTCTTCTTCCCAGGACGGGTAATCGTGAGGTCTTTCTCTGCTTTCACGATAGTAATAATACGCCTCTCTCATAGGATAATCGGCGTCGGGAGGCCCTCTTCTGCTCCAGAATCTACTGTCCTCCTCCCATCGTCTTCTCTCGTATCTTCTCCTGCTCCACCGATCCTCTTCGTCGTAGCCCATGCTCTCTTCACTACCGAATCGATCCTCCTCGTTCCACAGCATCAGTTTCCGCTTGCGCTCGTCGTCGTAATACGTGCCGTGAACGTCATGGCTCCAGTTGCACCGTTGAGGCGGCGGCTTCGGTCGACATTTCCAGTGCACCTCGTACTGATCCTCGTCCTCCTTATACGGTTGCACCTTCCGATGCGGATATCGTCTCGGGCCTTCGTCCTCCCACTGAACCTCCTCGTGCCAAGGCGACGGATCGCGCGGTCGGTGACTGCCGCTACTTTTGGTCCACGGTGCTCCGCGCGATTTTCTGCCCATCCTCTCGCGAAAGCTGCGGTCCCGTTTTTCCCCGTCTTCGTAAAACGATCTATCTTCAAATCCTGGTGCGTCAAACCTCGGATGTCGTGAGCCAGACCAGAATCTGCCGTCTCCTCGCCCTCTGCCGTTGCTTTCCTCGCTCTCTTCCTCGTCTTTCCATTCGTTATCACTGTCTCCCGAATGCCGATATCCGCCGCTACCTTTGAACGGTACCTCTCTATGGAAATCCTTGCCGTCTGGAGACCACGGTGAAGTGCCGCCTATCGATCGTTGCCCCTCGCAAGACGATCTATCAGACGAACCGAAAATACCTGTGTCAAACTTTGCCCAATTGCCGTCCTCCTTGCCGTCGTCCTTGTCCGATCGCGTCGTCTCCGAGAACGGACAGAACATGTCTTCGAAACCTGAAGACGAAGGCGGTGCCGGCTTGGTATCCTTGGCGCGATGCATACCGGTGTTCAGCATCTTTATTTCCTCGAAAATATCCATTGCCGCGGTCTTCAGATCGATCGAATCCTTCTTGACCGAGATATTCGGACTCGACGGTGGCGGGAGGTTATCGGAGAACAGATTCAGCAGCTCTATCTCGGCTAAACTCTTCGGCTGCTGAGATTGTACCATCGGTGACGTCCTGGCAGAACTTATCATTTCCTCATCGTCCTTTCTAATCGGCGACGGTTCCGGCTCGCCGATAATCTCGCGCAATGCGGCGTACCTGTCGCTCGACGTCGATGTCGAGGATTTTACTTCCGTCGAAGATCTTTCAGCAACGGACGAACCGTTCGTCTCATCGTTGAGGATGTCCGAGCCGACTTTATCAGACAACGTTCCATTGGCATCGCTTCCTTTTTCGGAATTATCCACTTTCTCCTCCACGTCCATGATGGTTTGCGTCTTCTCCGTATCGTCCTCGACATCTATCTCCGTCTGCTGAACCGTGGATGAGTCGGACGTGATATCTGCATCCGCCATTATCTCGCTTTCTTTCTCGATATCTTCGGTTTCACCCAGTTTTTCTTTTTGCTCCGTCAGATTCGCGATGGAATTAATCATCGTCTCGTCCAGCTTCGCCGTGAGTTCTTCTTTTAACAGATTTTCGCTTTTCGACGATAACTGGGCAGTTAAATTCGACAATGAAGTTATTGAATTCGAAGCGCTCTCGCTGGTTCGCACTTCCGGTTGGATCATTTCTCCATCAACTTGTCCGCTTTCGTTGGATGCCTCTTCCATCTCGGTGATTTCTTCCACATTTATCTCCTCCTTCCGTTCTATTTGCTCCATCTCCAACAGCTCTCTGAAAACTGCATACTTATCATACGTAGAATCTTGCTTCGATTCCGATTCATAATTAGATTTGAAGAGCTCCGAACATGTGAAAGAAGTCGAACTAGGGTCTGTAGTTTCGATCGATTTCGACGCCAGCGATGACAAGGACGAAATTGCAGGCTTAGACGAAACCACCGGTTCCTCCTTCATCGTCGTCATTGACGGATCCACAGTTTCCTCCGCATCGTCAGCAACGATTTCCTTCGTCGATAGACTCGCTAGGCATTGCGTGAGTTGCGTCAAGGTCAAACTTGTTAGCTGCTGGACTGTCATGCCGAGACTGGAGGCCAGCTCGTCCAAATTCGTCCAGGATGATGTCAACTGACTGAGCGTGATATCGAGCGATGGTTTCGATTTTTTAGAATCCATAACCGAAACAGTGGTGTTGTCAGTAAATGGTGCAGATGACAGCGGCGTTGTAGATGGTATCATTGTGCTGAAAGAGTCCTCGAAAGCGGAAGTGGTAGTCGTCGTAGCCATAAAATTAGATCTGGCGGGCATCTGCGGAGGCGGACTGAAGTTATCGTCAAACTGATGACCTTTCGCGTCTCTCGGCGGACTCTTGTTCTTGTCTCTAATAATTCTGGTAGGTGACGGTGAGGAAGCCTCGCGCGGCGGAAAATCGTACTGAAAATGTCCGTCCGTGTGGGGCGGTCTAGGCGGCGGTCTCGCCCCCCCACGAATGCTCTGTTTTTTCGGCGGCAACGGCGGCGGATTGATAAGGATGCTACCCACACCTCTGGGCGGCGGTTCTGGCACTAATTCCAGCTCCGCGCTCGAGCTAGACAGACGCGAGTTCGCGTCCGACGAACAGGACCGAAGCGGCGACGCCGGCGACTCGTTTGTCACCGAAAAGTCCACCGGAAACGGCTTGCTAGATTCCACGGATTGAGTCTTACCGGCCGGCAGGTCGATGTCGAAATCTCTCTTTCGCACAGACTGTAAATACTTTTTCGGACTCGGCAACTTCACCAGTGCCTGCGTCGATTCCGTGGAGTCTCTGTCCATGCTGCGGAGAATCAAGCTTCCTCCCGAGGTGGTTGTAGACATGTTCGTTCCTTTAGACGACGTCGTCTCCTCCGGTGGCAGAGATACCGACAGAGGCTGATGATGGATCGATCTTGCAACTGTCTCTTTCTTCGGCGGCGAATCGATTCTTTGCTGGGAGGACTGATTTGCCTCATTCTTGTCGAATTGATCGAAGTTGGCGAAATTGCTGTTTTCGTTATCTCTCGATGATAGCTCATTCTGTGCGTTCGTCGATTCCAAAGAATCCGTGGCAGTTGCGACGTTGAAGTTCGTCGGGAAGCTGTCGCTCGAATTTGTGGACACTAAATCCTTGAGAACTTTCTTCGGCGGGTTCTTTAGGTGTTGAAAGAAGTCCTTCTTATCCACATAAGGCTTGATCAGACCTGTCCCGAGAGGATCCAGCTCCGTGAACACGTCGATCTGCGGGCTCTTTGTCTGAGTGTTGCGGGGTGTAGTCTCCGTCGAGCTCTATAATATGAAAGATATGCATCGTGTGCACTTTCGAGAGAATACTTCTTGAAAGTAGAACAAAAGACACGCATAAATTGACACTTACATCCTCCTCTTTTTTCGTCGTCGAGTTCTTATTCAAGTTTGTCAGTTCGCTATCGTTGAAGAGATTTTCAGTCTCCTTGTCGAACCAGTGAATTGTACTCTCCGGAGGAGGCGTTTTACTGACGGATGTTGTTGCCGGACTGGAAGTAGTTGATACAGGCGGCACCGGCACAGTATGTTGTCGCTCCAAATGTCCCCTTTTCGTCGACGAGGGTGGCGGTGGTAAAATCGGACGAACTGTGTCTTGAACCTGCATTAAATACGAAGAGATATAATTAGAATGTCGAACAATATCAAAAATTTTTTTCGCTATAAATATTACAACTGTAATAACGACTAATGATTCGTTTTTGCCATATTAGAATATGCTACAAGGTATTTTTTTGATGCAATGATCTTACTGCGGTTTTATCTTATTAAATGAGAAAAATATTTGTATAACGCAATATCAGCCGCATACCTTCATGTTTGCGAAAGAATCACCGAAAGGATCGCTCTCGAATAGATCGTCGGTAGAGGGCACGGGATTTTCCGGCGTGATTTTGTCCATCTGATGGATACCCTGCTGCAGCGAGTTTAATTCAAATTGCAGATCCAGCAAATCCGCGATCACCCCACTCTGCGATTCGTTCTTGCGATCGGCGGGTTTGTCGACCTCGGAATTAGTCGTACGAATTCGATGAAATGAGGATTCAGTGCTTGCTGCACCCTGCAACAAATTGTTACAACTCATCTGGCTTTTGTTAATTACATCCGCGTTATCACGACATATACATCATTTTTCTTAGTAACGATTTCATTCGTGTTGGCTTTATAATTGATATTTTCAAGAATACGGATCTCCATTTCCATGAAAAACGCTATTTCATGGAAAGTGGAGAAAGAGTTAAAAATGAAAAATAAGAAAACTCATCTGAGAGAACAATTTTAAATATCTCAACGATAGCAATTATTTCAAGGCACTGAATTTACCTTGGTATCGGGCGCTGGCTCAACGAAAATACCGCCGGTGTGGAATTTAATCGCGTTAATGGCATTTTGCTCTATATGCTGTTTCGCCAACTCGATCTCTTTCTTCTTCAGCTCAAACACTACTTGGAACAAGTCTCGCATCGCTATCACCACCTGTTAAACAAATTTTCCTTTTTGCCACTTGTGCGATACATAAAAATAAACGCAAACTATCGTATGTTCGAAAGTAGATTTATCTTTTTAAGGTATTTTTGTTTCGAAAGTACTGAGAAAGAATCTCAATGATTTAAATTATTCAATTTTTCAAGAAATTCCTTTTTAGAATTCAGGAATATTCTTCTCGAGGAAGATATAATTGCTTAATAGCGATAACGAAATTTATTTCTTGTCAGAACTTTTAAACTTGTTTGAACTTTTCAAATTTCAATATTTTATTTTTTCATGGGATATTTTCAAATATGTATGTTTACGATACTTTTACGTTATAAAAAAAAGAGTATAAAAAGAGGTCTTATATTATATATTTTAGTTGAAGATCGATTCGTAAGATCGTATTTTTGAAAATTCTCGATAGAAAGAGAAAGAATTAATTCTGAATGATTTTTTTTCTCGAAAATAAAAAATATCAAAGAAGTAAGAATATTATCCGCCCCCGCGTATAATTCCATTAAACCTACTCCGATCGTTTATTTCACCCTCACCCGTACCATCAACGCAATACCCCTCTGTTTGCTGCGATTCTCTGTACGTCGGTTAAAAGCTCCAGCAGCGTGTCAAACACGACCACCACCCCCGTACGGGCGAGGATTACCGGAATCGTTTACAGGAAGCGAGCATAGAAATTAAACTTGGAAATTGAATAAAAGCCGTAAGATTGTTGAATTAATTTGCCACCTGTCACGCGAGACTGATTTCATTTTCGCGGTGATGATCGTCGCTATTGAGTTGAACGCGAGTTGAGGACCCAACAACTGTGCTCTCTCAACGATCGAGAGCGAAAGTCTGCGCGTAACAGAGTTACACATATTCCCCGATTTAACGCGATCAATTACCCGTCGTAAACTCCTATTTACCGCATTGCGTTTAATATTTGCGTCTTGCTAAAAGTTGCGAGCGTGCTCAAGTATTGCGTGAGTAACACTATAATACTGGACAGAATATTTTATCCAGCAAATGCAAATATGTTGGAAAAGTATTTCTGCGATTATTTAGATTAGAAAAATATTAACAGTACAACGCGATTAAATAGTATATGCATATTCACTTTCGTTTATATGCGTGAGACGTATACGTTTATTTATTAAAATGTTCACACTAATATCATTAGAATTAAATTCCATTATTCAATATATTTCCAATATGAGACAATATGATATTCTTACGCGGTATTCTCTCAATCGATTACATTTAAATGTATTAGGTATGCATATTAATTGCGCGCAATCTTCGCTCTTCTTTGATACAAAAAAAGGAGACGCTCAAAGGATCGCGCCTCTTAAATCGCGCGATACTTGAGCACAAAAGTGGGATATGCTGGTGAATTTGAATATCAAGAAGTTGCTCGTCGATCCCTTTGAACGGCGTACGAAGTGAGCCGTGGATAATCCGGCAACACAATCTCCCACGACGAGGACGCATCGGAGATGCGGGGTTCGGCACCGTCGAATCGAACGCCGTAATGCAATTATTTACATACGCGTTCGGGATTACGGTCGTGCGCCCGGGGTTGATATTGCTTCCCGTATTGGGCAAATATCATTCTAGACTTCACCCGCCGGGGATGGGCTACCTCGCCGTGACGACTCGTTCCCGATAATTGACACACTTTAACCGCGTTTGGCGATGTAGGAACGCACGGCCGCGAGGTTCTAATCGCTCGTGCGTGTACTCGATAACTCTCGAGCTGCGAAATTGATCAATTCGATGCCCCCCCCCCCCCCGCCTTCCCCCTTTCGTCTCTTGTGTCTTGCAGGATTAGATTTTCGTATATTTACCGTATGCGATGCAGTTCTTAAAATAAAACTGACGTACGAGTATGTATATATAGAGGTAGATAAGATTTAATCCAAGATTACGTCCCACCCATTCTGTATTTTATGTATTTTTGCAATGTATTAGAGATTGGAGCATATTTTTTTTGCTGCATAATATAAAAAAGACGATTACTTGGAACGATGCAAAGATAGGGCTTACCTGACTTGCCGCTTTATCAGTCTTGATGCCGAAGAACCGATGTCCGGTATCCGGTGAGCCGAAAATATAACCGAAGGCTCTCGAGTCACTCATGTCTTGAGCAATAAACGATATTTTATGCACCGGATGATGATACAAACAATCCTGTGAAAGATAAAAGTATAATGATAAATTATATCCGATATCCAGTATATCAACTACATATGAATAATTTCGTGAATAAACTCACCCCCGTCTTTTCGTCCCTCAAACGAAGCCCGTCTATGCTGACCTGAACGGCGATTCGTTGCTTGTGTTCACCGGCGGCGCGAATCGCCATCTTCAGGTCAGCCAAGGCCGCCTGGCACATCCGGTCACCGCGTGCTTCCGATACCTCCAAAATACCGATCAGTTTCGCCTTGAACGATACGCCCTCCCCAAGAAAGCGGGTTGGGTCATTCTTGACTGAAAACGAAAATATTTTATTACTCCATGAACCAGATTCTCTGTGATTGAAAAAAATTGATCAAATTAATTGGCGATTAATTAGAGATATGAATTAAAAATTATATCGAACAATTCTAACTGTACGATAATCAAAAAATGATGTCGTTTTAATTTTTCGTTTAAATTTGTTGCGTTTTTCTATTTTTATGAAAAAAAAAAAAAGATAAAAAATACCATAATATATGCGTCCTAGATAAGATATTAAGATTATAAAAATTTTAAACGGATCTATTTATATTTTATATCAACTTAATATTGTTAGTACAATAACATGAATCTCAAGTATATATGTATGTATTTCTTATATACATAGATATATTTCTCCGAGACTTTTCCATTTTTATAAAATAACTTACGTGTCACATTGAGACAAAAAAATCGGAATATAAATCTATTTTAAATTAGACGATTTAAAAGATTCACGATCTGATCGGGGAAAAGCGTTCTATAGCTTCTTTCAATGGTATCAACAAGTTTAAAGTCGTTTTCCGCAAATCGTTCTCGTTCCACACGACGACTAGTCGTCAAAGTAACGTGAAAGCCCACCAAACAGAAGGAGCTCTCATTGTAATATCACGACGTGTGGGCCCCGCTCAGCCTCGCGCGAAAGAGACTCCGATCGAATTATCGTATTTGGAGCCGCGGGGGTCCGAGAAGCGATAGGTCCGAATGTATTAAACCGATATCGATCGGTCATACAACCAATTTGACCGGCCAGGACTATAAAATGAGAGAACTTTGCTCGAATGCCCGACGAGAATGATGTCCCATCAACGAAGAAGAGCGTTAAAATTAATAGCTCGGAACGGAAGCCGATAATTGGGTCGATACCTATTTACAGCTTAGCCACCATAATAATGCATGTCATTTGTAATTGCGTTTTAGAAATGGAAGTAATATTGTTGTAGGTATTTGACATCTGGCAAACCTGAGTTACATACATTATAATTTTGCGGTTTTACAATAATTTTTTTTTAAGCAAAAATAATTAATATAACTTATAAAATATCTAAGTAATATATAATATAAAAAAGTTATATGTGTGTGTGTGTGTAATGGATATAATTAATTCATATAGCTCTTCAATGTAAATATATTACTGTGAATATTCTGTTTATCACTATTCACAAGAATAATTGTATCAACGATATTGCTAGAGATGGTCGATTTTGATAACGACAAAAATATATTCGACGTACATAAGAGTACGATAAATCTATCGAAAATTTAAATAATACAGGGAGAGGCGCCAATCTATCATGACTTTCTCTCTTTCTCCCTCTCAGCGGGCTTCTCGCTGCCCCTACGATTTTAATGATCGAAGGCTGCGTTTGTTCAGAAGGTACTCGTCGGTTTTGAGTGGAGAACGCCAACTGTCGGTACTCGATAATATATACGTTTGGTACCGATCCATCGAGACTCCTTCACGCACTCCGGGTTCCTTCCTTCTCTCCTTGCTTTCTACGCCAGATGCGCCCTGGCATTGCACTTGGCCCCGTATATCCCGCACCTCTATTTCACAACAATTATTATTGTGGCCCGCGAGATGAGATACGCAACAGTAAAGCAATCAAACGAACCGAGAATAGAATAGAATCTTTGTATCGTCGCAAAAGAATTTTTACAAAAAACAATAAATTTTCCTCGCACACATTTCCAGACAACACATATTCCTAAAAGACGACTTAAAGACGTCTTATCTTTAGACATTTTTAAGATGTCTTTTGGCCTTCTTATGCTGTCTGAGTTGTTGCTAAAAAGAAATTGATTTTAAACAGATTCTAACTTCAAATTTTAAAAGATTGATATTTTTGAAACTTTTCTCATTTGATTACTGAATATATGGTGTTATTCATTATTATTTTTTTTTTTTTTCAATAAATTCTGTCACAATTTCTAAAGTCTATATACTTGCAATTTGCACATTCTTTATAGTATACATTGTGCAATGAGATACACAATAATGGAGCACTCGAACGTATCGGGGAACTTTATATCATCATGTGAAAAAAATGTTATCACGACAAAATATAAATACCTTTGACATTTTCGTTAAAAAAAATCGGCTCGAAGAAGTCCGGCTCGCTTCAAAATTGACATTTATTTACGGATATTCCATTATTGTAAGACGAAGAACGTGATTGTTGCAAAAATAGCAGTTCATGCAATCAGAGAAAAATGACAGAATGATATATTGCTGTCACTAACGTGACTCATCAGGAGAAGATGGCTTATAAAAACGTATATATTGGCTATGACTTGCATTTTCTTGCAATTTATTTAGTGCCACTTCTCCATTCTCATTTCCTATTGGAAATACAATCAATATTTCATATTTAATATTTTCATATCGCACAACTCAAAATTAATAAAACCGTCAATGTCTTTAAATGTATTAATGGGAGTACAAAATTGACATTTCCCTCTAAAATTAAGAGTATGCTCTTGCTGTAAACCGCGTTAAAATTATTTCCAACTTTTCTCGACGAGAGATCTCTTCTCTACATAGCATTTCTTTAAGCTTCATTAATATAATTAACATTTAATCGAATAAGGAGATAAAAGCGTTTTCGCGCTGTCCTGTAAAAATTCAGTAGTAATCTCGAACACGCGCACGACACAGCTGTCGACATCTTATGGAGACACATGCGGCCGGCAGTCTCGCTCGAACGGTAACGTTCTCCCTCGTGAGAACTTTCGCTTTTCGCGTGAGCGAATTCGCCAGCCTACGGCTAACGAGAGGCTCATTTTTCGCGGCCTTCGTGTCACATACGTCACACACGAGATGCGTCAGTCAATGCGTCGAATTGCGTAGCGAAAATCTCCCGTGCGAGACGCGATGCGACGCGACGTACGGCTGTCCCTCTCGCCGCTAATACGTGGAAGCCATATTACGCACCCCTAACCACCCCTAACGTACGTATCTACAGGGTGGTACCAGAGGCGCCGTCTCAACCCCGACTCGTCGTCGGGAGGGACGGGAAACCTTGTAAAGTTCGGATCGCGAGCGCTCTCAGGAAAATCGCGGAAAACTCGACGTAGGACACACATCGCGGAGACTCCGATCGCGATGTCGGAGCGAATCGCTTTATACTCACACTTGCACGGACTGTTTTTTTTCCGTAAGGTCTGCATCGGTGGTCCCGCGTAGACGACGACGAGAGAACCCCGAAGAACGGCACAGGGGGACAACGAGAATTTTTCCCTATCTTTCTCCTCGTCCGTATGTTTCTCGCCCTTCCCCTCTCTCGTAGAGCCGGTCACCCTGCCTCGAGATGTACCCTCGTAGGTCGGCACAGTCGGAGACACGATATCCTCAGCACGGACACATGTCGTAGCACATCGGTCTCACTCTGTCTCTCTCCCTCTCTCTTTCTCTATTCCGCGCACTCTCTTAGTCACTCGATCTTTCGCTCGAACGGTAACGTTCTCCCTCGTGAGAACTTTCGCTTTTCGCGTGAGCGAATTCGCCAGCCTACGGCTAACGAGAGGCTCATTTTTCGCGGCCTTCGTGTCACATACGTCACACACGAGATGCGTCAGTCAATGCGTCGAATTGCGTAGCGAAAATCTCCCGTGCGAGACGCGATGCGACGCGACGTACGGCTGTCCCTCTCGCCGCTAATACGTGGAAGCCATATTACGCACCCCTAACCACCCCTAACGTACGTATCTACAGGGTGGTACCAGAGGCGCCGTCTCAACCCCGACTCGTCGTCGGGAGGGACGGGAAACCTTGTAAAGTTCGGATCGCGAGCGCTCTCAGGAAAATCGCGGAAAACTCGACGTAGGACACACATCGCGGAGACTCCGATCGCGATGTCGGAGCGAATCGCTTTATACTCACACTTGCACGGACTGTTTTTTTTCCGTAAGGTCTGCATCGGTGGTCCCGCGTAGACGACGACGAGAGAACCCCGAAGAACGGCACAGGGGGACAACGAGAATTTTTCCCTATCTTTCTCCTCGTCCGTATGTTTCTCGCCCTTCCCCTCTCTCGTAGAGCCGGTCACCCTGCCTCGAGATGTACCCTCGTAGGTCGGCACAGTCGGAGACACGATATCCTCAGCACGGACACATGTCGTAGCACATCGGTCTCACTCTGTCTCTCTCCCTCTCTCTTTCTCTATTCCGCGCACTCTCTTAGTCACTCGATCTTTCTCTCTCTCTCTCTCTCTCTCTCTCTTTCTCTCTCTCACACACGCACTCTCATTCTCCGTCCTCCTCTCGCACTGTTACCCCCAACCGGTGTCGCACCCCTCCGCGCCGTATATATTTCCTGTGAACCGAGAACGCGTAAGCGCTCAAGACTGGCGGCGCGTATATCACGCGTATGCGGTGCGTCGTCGTACTCGGTATACTCGGAACACACGCACCGCCTATCCACGCATCCAGCCCGACGCATCTAACGGTCAGCACCAGGATGGGAGAAGCAGCAGCAGGATCGCGAGGACGCTCTGCGCACCGCTGCCTGGCACCCGGGACACGGTTTCGCGCGCGCGGCGGCGAGCGCGTGTATCCGCGCGCGCGACGTAAAAACGCGGAGGAAGTGACAGCTGCCTCCGCCGCCACCGCCGGTACGGGTTGCCCATGCTCTTATTGATCAATAATATACGCCGCCACCGCCGCCGCCTGCTTGCTTGCCTGCCTGCCTGTCTGCCTGCCTAGTACTCGACATCGTCGCTCCGGGCCGCTCCGGGTCGCCCGTTTTTCCGAGCCGCGAGCGACGTCGCTCGTATTTTCCGAGCGGAAATGTCCTGACATCTCGTTTGCGCAGACGGATAAGCGAGACTTCCATTATTCCTTGAATAATTCTTATTTCTTGGTTCACCCGGATTTTTTAAATTGAAGTCTGAAGTCATTTGCACCCTCTCTATTATCACTCAATAATATGGCTACGAAAGAAAAGAGATTATAGCCACGATTTCTAGATAACTTTGAGTACATTCGAAGCGAGAAAAATGTTTTGAAAATCCCGCAAATTTATGTCTTATAGATTTGAAAACTCTTTGTAATGTTCTTTCTTTGTACACTGAAAAAAAAAATTGTTAACTTGACTAAAACCGTTCAACTAATTACCATTTTTTTAATTGAAATATTTATATATTTAAGTCAAATATACGTCATGTTAGATTTCATATGTCTTATTTGACTTAAATATATAAATATTTCAATTAAAAAAATGGTAATTAGTTGAACGGTTTTAGTCAAGTTAACAATTTTTTTTGTTTCAGTGTAGAAAATTCGCGAGCATATCTGGTCCGAGACGACCGTTCGCGGATCGGTAATCTTTGATTCTTGGCGCGCACAAACGCACTTTTTACTTTGCGTCTCTGAAACTTATCATACATATTATTTGAAAAATATTATATTAATTTGGAAAATAAAAAATTAAAATTTTACGCTCCTCCTGCAACAAAGACTCGTCTTCTTACAAGATTTGGACTGTTATTAAAATTGGAGAGAACCGTCGTAGAATCAATGGTAATTTGTGACGACGCTGAATAGTATAATCGCGAGTAATGTAATCATATCGTGATCTTAATTTAATACCTTCGGTATCCTGCTCCTAATTCGACATCTGCAGTTGTCTTGTTCAAAACGTCGTAATTTCATAACTATTCCAAATTAGATTTATCACGATCTGACATTTTCTGACCAATATCTCATCTGAATGAAGATATAATTCCGATGATGAAGATGTATAATCCTCCCCCAGGATATCATATTTATTTATATTATTTTCGAGTAGTGTAATATGTAAAATATAAATGATTTGGAAAACGATAAATTTTTATAGATAAAATAAAATTATTTTTCATAACTATATTTTCGATACGATTAATCATTTTCGAACTGGAATTAATACTATGCTGATAAGACTTGTCTGAGAAACGTGTGTTCAGTAATTACATTGTTTACATACGCACACATATATTTGATATACAGTAGTATAATTTCTTTATCTAATTTATAGCCAGAGTGTGTTAAGCGGAGGAGGGATTACATGAAATTTACATATTACATAATTTATAACCGGGATAAGGAGATTAATGATAGACGTAATACACAAAAAAATATAAAAGTCTGACATTTCTGAAAATTCGTGGGAGTAATGGGCCCCATACATCGGAATCTCCATATTTCTATTTAAAAAAATCGATATTTTTTTATCTTAAGAATGCAATTTTTGTTTGAAAAGTCAATTGCGGCAACTTTTTCAGTTATAACTTTTCCAAAATTCGAAACAATAATTGTTACCATCTCATATAACAGCTATTTTATGTATATATGTATGTTAACAAACATTCGCTGAAATGTTTTAGTATCTTATCAAATTTCCGATAATAAAGAAAAATTTAATTACACTAATTTGCCGTTTTATCGCTATGAAA